CCCCCCTCCCCCCTTTACTACCCTAGCGACAGTCCCGATTTCCCGAAGACATGTTAGATATTACTCGATTAGTCCTACCCATTTTCCTTTCGGACATTAGTTTCGGTAAGTACAACTGCCCTTCGTGTGTACCCAGGCAGACGGTTCAAGAGTACAACTTCAGGCGGGGCGTATTTTTTGATGATGAGGTCATGTGTTCGTTTATTCAATTGGGTTTGGGAAGGACGGGTGTAATTTGGGTGCGTAAGTAATTTGGATGATGGGAGGATCAAAGATGTGAGGGATAGTCATTAGGGTCTGATGAAATAAAATTCACATTTATTATGAGAATAAAAAGCCTCTACAGTTCAGGAAATGAGACCATGAGGTTCACTCTTTCGATTTTCGACTTTGGAACATAATGAACCCTGGCGTTTTCTATTCCCAAAAAACTCAACCAAGTTTATGCGTCCCGTTGTTCCCGTCTTTTTGAGATTCGAAAAACCGTGAGCTCTCATATCCAAAACAAATTTCCATACGGAATTAGGCTAAAAGTTCCACATGTCTCTAGCATACCAATTAGGCAATTTACTGGGCACGTGAGGGGTTAGTTAGTGTTTATCGTCCCATATGGAAGTTGAACAGCTGAATGTGTAATTAGAGGAACTTTCCATATCTGAAGGAACACGGAACGAGTGAACCATGCTAATCAACGATTCCAAAAGTTCCGCTTCGCCTTCTTCCGCTTCCGATGGCATCGTTTCTTAGTACTCCCGAGTTCCTGCCAGACGGTTGTTCATAGAACTAAAGTTCTAGACGATAGCGTGTGATCAGCTGAGTGCTCCAGCGCCAGTCTCGTGGTTAACGAACGAACGCTTGTCCTTCTCGAAAAAGGGGCGGGACCCGCGGGAGGAAGTTTTTCTCGCGTGTATATATAAGCAACTCAACTCGCTAGTACTTTCTGCATACGAGTTGATATTGCTACTTGGCCGTGATGGTTTTTGAGCCATATGGGGCTCAACACTCGCCTAATTGCCTAATAATTGCTCCCCCATGCGCGCATAATTTGAGTCATCATAGTAGTAGAACTAAGACACGCAATATCTTTGATTTGTTTGCATTTTATGTGTGCATAGAGCGTAGTCTGGTAACTATGGTGAAAGAAGTGATGAGTTGGACGAGTTTCGAAAGTCTCGTTGACGAATTGTTTCGTAATGTTTGCCTTCTGTTGTGTAAGATTTCTTCGGCTAAAAGCCTCCATAAACTGATGGAAAGGTATTTTCGTGATATTATTTGAATTCTTCTTCCACTTCACTTGTTGCTACCCTCCTGTCAAGTGTTTTTGTTTTCGCACTTGAGCACTTCATCTGGCACTCAGATGGCTTTGTTTAGATAATAAAAGACCTTTTCTTCTCTGGCTATCAACAACTAGCTGCTTTGAGCAGGAGGAGGAGGTCTTTGGGAGGGTTATTCTCAAGCTGTAGATCTGGGAGATTGCTCTAGTGTTATTTTTAGGTTCCCCACCTTGCTCTATTGTTCACCATACTGGCAATCGTCTTTGTTTGGTAGCGGTGAGGTCAGACCCGCCCCCATTTATCCCCATAACCCTGACCATCAATGTCTTCACGCCGTTACTGCCGCGATTTTCTCTCCCATTGGCATATCAGCTGTCACTGATGCTTTGCATCACAAGTTTATCGCTCTGGAGAGCGGGAAGGGAGGGGGGGGGACTGGTGTCGGCGTGCCGGAAATCGACAATGTGTGATTAATGACTTTTTACCCACACGCCCCGTTGCACTGACCATCGGTCTCGTCCGCCCGCGATTATCATCACCCTCATAACTCGGAACTGGTTGAATAAATTCTGGGCAAATGTTGCGCTATATATCGTGGAGGCTTCGATCCTTCCCCCCCTCTTCTTGTGTATTTTTCCGTCTGGTGCTAAGTTCCTGATTCTTATCATTTCAATTCCCTTGTCTATCTCGGGCTCAGCAGGGTGCCCCAGTCGCCGAAATGCTGAGCCACACCCCAAGTTCAATGATATTTGCGACTGAGCTGTCCAAAAACCACCAAAAGTCCGTCTGCCTCGTTCTGTCTGACATTTTCTCATTTCAGGCCTTTTATTGCCAAAACAAACCATAGTTCTCCGACTCCCTCCCTCCCGCCTCTTCCTCCCTCATACTCAACATTTGTACCATTGAATGGGATTGTATGTACTGAATCGCATGACCAGTTTGCACGTTTAGATCCCCCCCCCCGCTCTTCGTCCTGTAATGATTGAGGTGTTTTTACGAACACCTGTGACCTCATATCCTAGATTTTCGCACGACTGCGAATGAATCGAACGATGTTCGAGTTTGCATTCTCGACTTGGATTTGATGTAAAATGCTGCATTCCTATGTCCGTTCTTCCGTTCTCATAGAGTTTTATGGCTTTGTTGCTTTGTAACATGATAGTCAAGTGACCCACTTGTGAGTTATTTTATGAGTTTTGCGCTGGGTTCTATGGGTTCCTACCGATCGCTGCATCCATGTTATTAAAATGAAAGTGCGCTTTGTCCAGTTCCTGTTTAAGGAAAAAATGGCTCAAATTGCGAAAATTGTTGATTTTTTATTTGAAAAAGATAATCGTTTGCCCCTTCATAAAAAGTCTATTTAAAAGACTTGTATAAAGGAAAGAAATTTCTCGACGTTAAATCAAAGGAAATTTCTTTTGATATGCTCATGACGTTAGTCATCCATATTTTTTTGTTATTTTTTGTCAATCAAATCGATTCAAACTTTTTCTCAGTTTGCACTTTTGGAATTGTGAGCGCTTTTTGAGTAACCGGTCCTTTAATCTGTCGAATTTTTTCACTTGTATAATCTCTTCTCTCTCACCTGATTCATCAGTTCATTGTATCGTTTCATTTTTTCCACATTTTTCTTTTTTTAAATTCTTTGTTATCAAACAGTCCTTCATCTAGTAATCCTACTTATTCAGTTACTAGTGCAGTGGAAGTTTTCCAAAACATTTTTGTTTACTTTCAGGATCCCATTAATTCCGTTTAACTTCGAGTTTTACAAACTTTCAAAAATTGTCTTGTATTTACAAGTAAATAAAAATCAGCGACAAGTCAAAAAGTACAGTTTTATAGCTCACTCATGTAAGTCACTTTCGATTTCGAATTCCACTTCCTCTTGTTCTTTTTTCCCTTGGGTTCAATTTTCCCCTTCTAGATCCTTCCCTGAACATACTTGCTGCCCGTCACATTAATTGCCGGTTGGCGTTCAGTACATAAGCCATTACACAAAAGTAAGAGTTAAGCTCTCATCATGTGTCGGAAACAAAGTTCAGCGATCTCAATCGCCATCGCAAATTATCGCTGTTGTTGCCGACGTCGTCAACGTCTGCGATCTCCCCCTCCCCCCCCCCCCCCCCACCCCATGTGTTCGTACTTTCTATTGACGTGTGACTGTGTTGTGCTGAAGTTCGTACTCGGTTCATCCAGTAATGCCTCGGCAATGACTGTACTTGTGCCACGATAGAATGCTAAAAGTCGCGAAACTATTCTCGAAAAAGGCGATTGACCGCACTTTGCGCGATAGGATGAATTTCGTATTGGGGCGAGAAGTTGCGAAATCGCAGCGCGATTACTCACTCATACGCGTTTCATTTAGTTTCGTATGTTTCTATGGTGAATGGTTGGGCTTTCGGAACTCCTGCAAACTTTTTTACTCCTTTCGAACTGCCTCTACAGTCAAAAATTGGATGCATGCACTTTCATCCTTTAAAATGTTTTTGGAGGGGAGATTTTCGAAACCGCAGCGCGATTAACTCATAGCGCGCGTTTCACTAGTATCATATGTTCCTATGGTGAATGGCTGTTCTCGGAACTTCCGCAGGTTTTGCTTCATCTGATCTTCTGTGTTACGTGGTTTTCGCAGTCTCAAAATTGCAGCCTTACTCACTCGTACGTGTTTCATTGTTTTCGTATAATCCCTATGGCGATTGGTTTTTTTTTTCGGAACTTCCGCAGATTTTTGTTCTCGTGATCTTCTGCCAACGTTCCGGTCATTTTCGCTAGATTCTGGAATCGTGGCGCTATTACTTTTGTATTTGTATACGTTTGAGTGGCTTCCCAAAAGTGAAAATTACATTCTCGGAACTTCCGCAGAATTTTGCTTTATTTGGACCTTACACTGACTAATTGTGGTTTCATTTTGGCGTTTTCGTAAATATGAGGTAATACGCAAATATTTTCGAAAATGCGGTGCGACTACTCATTCTAGCGTTGCACTGGTTTGCTGTTTTTGAGAGGTTGCTAAGAAGAAAACTTTGGCTTCAGAAGTTCCGCTTTTACCTGACTTGATCTTTAGCTAACTATCTATATTTACATATGCGCGTTTTCTTGAATATCGAATTCTTAACAAGAAGGAGTTCCGATTACTCATGGGATGCGTTCCAATATTTTCGCGTGTCCTTATGGTGAAAAAGTTGATTTTCGGAACCTCCTTAGATTTTTACCTCACTTGATCTCTTGTCGACTACTTGTACTTACATTTCCGCGTTCTCACAAAGTCTAAGTTTATCTCTCGCTCAACGAAAAAGTGAGCACGTGTTGGTTTTTCTCATCGGCAGAGCGAAGAGTGTTAGAGTGGGCGCTTATGTGCGTATTTATAATGTGTCAGTTTTACTTCATCCACATCTCAGTTTGTGATGGTAATTACTCTGTCAAGGTGAGAATGTGTCCTATTGATGTGTCAAATGATTGATTATTGATGATTAGTACTTAAACTTATAGTATAGTTAGTAATTGTACTTAGAGCTAGTCATGGTTTTTGATAGGTTGAAAACTTACTCAAGATATAAAACCCGTCTCAGGTTGTACAAACGTAGTTCAATGTTTAGTTCCTTGTTATTCACCTGTCTCACAACGCCCCCCCCCCCCTTCCTTTCCTCCTTCCCCCGCTCTTTTCTCTCTCACTTGGTACTTGTATCGGTTTACGGTTCCACCTTCGTCTTTGCACACAAAATAACAATGAGTTGTTATGCTAAGGCGAAAGAGGAGGCGGAAGAAATGTGTGTTGAGGGTTGTTGCCCCGATACCGGTATCATTATACAGCGGTACCGCGGTCGCAAATACACAACTTTGCAAGTTTTTAATAGTTGTTGTTGAAGTTTGTGTTGGTGTGACTATTGTACAGATGTAAAGTTACAGTACAGTTATGCAACTTTGGAGGGGGGGGGGGGGGAGGAATTGACTGACTCACTTCATTATTCTACTTAAACGAGATTGTCTTATGGTTTTTTATTCTTTGTCTAGTGGAACTTCACCAGTTTCTGAATCATTTTTCTTGTTTTTCCCATCCATGGTGATTTTTCATTTTTCTTCAATTAAAGCGTGGCAGTTTCTCTTCCTCTCAGAGTTGTTATTTCCACGTGAATTTCATCATCTGCGTGGTTATTCAATGATTCATAGGTGTGTTTGTTCTCTTTTCGAATTTCGCACACCTCCCGCCTCAAAATCGCCTGCTCCTTCGTCATTTCAGAAATTTTTCTTTTCGCTGAAAGCTTCAGTAGATCAAAATTTTGTAGTGATGCTGATTTTGTGTTTTATCGTCATTCTGAAGTACTTCCATTTCTTCCTCACCCACTCAGGTCTTCCTTTATAATAAGACCCAATTCTTACGCAATGCACCGCTTTAAATTGCCTACAATCTCGTGTTTTCTTATGTTTTTACGTGCGCATGTATTCTTTGTGAATGAAGATGTTATGTAGCTCATACGATAATTTTTCCAGGTCACCTCAAACCCGTAAATCTACCGCAGTACTCTTATCATCAAACGGTTGTGGAGCACGGTCTCCATCTGTACACGAACAAAACGGCTCGTGAAAAGCATCGAAGTGTTAGCGCCGAAGAGGCAGCAGCGGTACCAGACGCTGTTAGTACCGGTAGTTCACCGGATACGGAACGTTTTATTAAAGCACAACAACCAAGGTAAGGAAATTTCTTATTTTGTAGCTTATGAAAAGGTGAGATGTAAGGTTTATACTCGCTGTCAAATTTGGGACCATATTGGTGCAATTGCACTGTGTTCGAGTTTACGCACATTTGGAGCTCTCAGCCATACTTTTAAACATCTCGTATCGTATTGTTGATGGCTTTTGAAAAGTATATGCGTGATGATTTGCTCCAAACCGGATATTTCTTTTCGATCTGTAATGCTAGATTTGAAGTGCCTGCAAACGTTGAAAAACGTGCCCTATTGCCATCATTGCGCCGGTGATTAGATAATCGTTAGTTTTTGCGAATCAAAAGTACCGCACACTTCTTGAGCTGCCGTAGCTTGTCCTCCATTCATGCCATCGTTCACTTTTTTCGTAACATCGACTACACTTCCAGTCTAGGCAAGAGGGTAGTTTGACTAGTTCTTTTGAATCTGGAAATTGTTCTTCTTTTTCCCTTGGGTGGTATAGAGGAGTGTAATGAGTAGTGTAAAGGTGAATGAATCTATGTGTATAACTCGTAAAAGGCGCATAGTATTAGTTGAAAGTGCAACGAAGAGTGAAAGCTAATTAGGGGACTGGTACGCCAGGCAGATGACATGTTCTAGGGCGAGTTACCCATCCCAGATTGAATTACTCATTTCTTTTCTTCCTCGCACCGCCGAAGCCATCAAGCTGCCGCCATCTATCCCGAAACATGTTGGTGGTCTAGTTTTTCTACTCATTTAATGGAACAAAACCAGCTAACCTCGTTGAGTTACGAATTAATGGCATTAGAGCGCGTTTTCTACTCTGCATTCACTCTTTGGTGATGGTTATCGTTGAACCAGTTGGGTAATGTTACCTGGCAGTGGGTGCGGGGGTGAATTTGGAGGAAAAGTTCAAAGACTTGAGGGTAGATACGATACATCGTCGGCATGCTTCTGCGGACAACTGGGTACAGTTTATAATCTGTAAAGACCAATGTTTGTGACAGATGCCCGTGCGAGAAGAGTATCGGTAGTTTGGCGTCTTTTACCAAATATATCTGGTTGAAAAGCATATAGTTAAGTCATTCACCCAATTTATCCGGTTTAAAGCATGCAAGGTCCATTTTGGTTGTGTTGAAGCCATACAACCCAATTTTAACTTCTTCTGCCCCCTCCCCTCTCAGGGAAAAGAAAGACCATTCTCCTTCGAGATTATGGCGCTAAACATGTTTTCTTAGGCTTGTTTATGCAAAGCTTTGATGCATAAGCGATTCTCCTAACGTCATTGACTTAGTCACCCTCACTCCCCCCCCCCCCCCCACTTCTCATTTCATATTGTGCCCCTTCATCTTGTTCTTGTCATTCTGTCATTCGCAGCTAGAGATCGCATTCATTTCGCAATTAGGATTGATATCGCGATGAAAATGCGATTGACTGCGAAGGCAGCCTTTGACCGATTAGCGATCTCGATTTGAGAAAATGAAGTTTTGGATCAGGTGGGAAAAAACATTTGAGTAATGTAAAAAATGGCGAGATTTGTTATGTGTGGTCTGACGGGATGGGCGGTTGAAAGAAGGGTAGAGGGGAGCGGGATAAAAAGTTGTGGAACTGTACACTTTGCAATGGATAAGTTTAGTTGAAACGCTAGTAGGAAGAAAAGATATATGGAAGCTAGGCAGTATACTTTCCGCTCATCCCGCCACCATGGGTTTCCACTCAGGACCGCTTCGAGACTACCCGGGACCATCTGCACTTCAACGATAATGTCCTCATCACGCTATCAGATTTGTTTATCACATGGATGTCGTTCTGCGAATATTTGGAGAAAGTGTTTCTCAGCCGAATCCTTAATCCCAGTGAATTTTTATTCCCCCCCTCACTCCTCTCATTTAGCATGCTTTAGCAAAATTTCCTGCAAACGTTTCTGCTTCATACTTTCAATCTTCAGCTGTTCTATGCTCTTTACCATTGCACTTATATTGTCAGCAGTCACAAGCATAATACCTCGAGCTAACGTCATTCTTGATTGTACTTATGTTTCCTGAAGCAGCTGAGTTTATATCGAGTTAAAAATAACGACGAAAATTGTCCCCAATCGTTCTTTGAGCGCTGCACGATGCTTTTCTCGCCCAGCAGCGGACATTGAATGTTTACAGGAATAGTGCAGAGAACATCCTTTGCACAGCAAAAACTCGTGAAATCATTCGGGGTAAGCACATATTTGGTAAAGGGGGGGGGGGGGAATAGAGAAAGGTAGGATTTTGGGAGAAAGGGAAAGGTATAATTATGTCTTGCGATTCTGAGAGGTATGGTAATTCTTGTGGATAAAAGTGGCTCGAATTGACTGAGCATGTCTCGAGGATTTGCAGGAAGTTATAAAAAAAATTTGGGGGGGGGGGGGAGAGAGAGTATCGGTGGAGACATTATAGTGCTCTTTCACTTCTCCAAAGCATCAATAGCAAAACGAAAAGCGTTTCGAAAAGCGAGCAAAGCAACGAATTGACGTCAACGAAGCTGGAAAGATTCGAATACTTGATATGTGCGCCTATGTAATTAGATTTCTTTACGATAGTTTTGCTTTTCTGTCTTTGAAAGATGTGGACATACGACGAAGTTGAAAAATTTGCATTGTATAAAAGTGAGATGAAAAATTGGTTTTTTTTCAGATTTTACGCAAACGCAATGAAACCCGTAATGCCACCAATACATCCACCAACATCACGTTCAAAAACATTGGCATGGTTCCTAGCCGACGATCTGTTGGCTGAAAAGAAAAATGGTGAGTTTTTGGATTTTTCGGTTTTACTTGATTTCTTCCTCTATTGAATTTTTTGAAATTTCTGTTTCTCTCCCTCTCACCCTGTTCTGCATCTATCTTAATACGACTTGTTCGGTGATTTCTAGGAGTCGTTTTCTCCTTTCGTTTCAGAGAACACCCATAGCCTTTTGCCTCTTTCCATTGAAGTTCTTTTTCTGATGAGTGCATGTTGCCCTAAAGCCAGCTTGACTGGTGCAGCTAGTTCAGAAGCAGTACATCGCGGGGGCGGGGCTGACCGGATGGGAGGGCGGGGAGCCGGCTGGTTCGAGTCGACGGGGTATTCTGTTTCTGTTCGGTGTGTGTATGCAGTGCTTGTGCTTTACATTCTTATTTGGGATGGGATTGGAGACTTGGCGCTCCTTTTGGGCTTCCTTCTGTCCTTGGAACCATTTAATGAATATTTTTCTCTTGCAGAATTTTGCAGTTTTGAAGATCTTATGATTTTGAATTTCTTTACTAACCAGTTATCTTTGCGAAGCTCCTAACTCATCCTATCTCTGCAAATGTCAATCATCTCTCTCATACTAGAGCTATAGTGCAGCTGCATAAATAAACTATCCGGGCAACAAACTCTTCTCCTATCGAATCACATTCGCTATCCTTCGCTCGAAATAAACCAGCCACGGACACGTGGTCGTCAATATCGAATGTTTAGATTGGCATTCTCTTGCTATTTCTCAATGTGTCAGGTTTTTTCCCCGAGTCTTTCGCTGCAGTTGCATGTGAACGACCAATGAATTGGCTATGGCATGCTTATCTCATGGGTTGTTTTTTTATTTACTGAGGGGTCGGCATGTACTTCTTTTTTCTAAGGCGCTGCAAATGAGAGTTTTTGGGGTTTTTCTTCGTTTGTGCGCTTGCCTAGGAACATTTGTAGCCAATTTTTTCGGATTCTAGTGAAGAGTGTGTGGGGGTGGGGTAGGAGTTTGAAATGAAAGTAGTATGCGAAGGTTCGCGATGTCTGAAAACCATGTTGAGAGAATTCGCAGATACGAAATTAGGGTCAGTTAATCATATGATCGAATCATTGCGCTACTTTTTCCCCCTAGCTTGCCTAACCATCAAATAAGCCCTTTAAGAATCTTTGAAAGAGCGATTGCTTGACAGAAATCGTTGAAGGCAGCTCTAAGCGACACCATCTCCTAAAAGCACGTATTCGCTGCTATACGCTTTAGTTTCCCCATCAAAGCCTCCACTTTGCTTCTTCCCCCTCCACTACTTCTCGAAACCGGTCCGAAATAGACGACGAACAAAGACGCATGCACACAGCTAAAGGTTTTTACCATGACTTTCGTGCTAATCTTAGGTCTCGGTACACAGTATTACTGGCTAATTGCCAAGTATCTGGACCGAGAGCTGACAGTTTTTTTGCACGAGAAACCTCTGTAACCACGGTGTAAAGCAGGCATTTTTGACCTTGTAGAGCGAGACCGACCGACCGTCGTGTCTGGCGCTGCACATCGTGCCGATCTTGTCGTCGTAGTTATCTCACCTGTCGATCAGCATTATCGTCGTTGTTGAACCTTAGCAACGATTAAAGAATTTTTTCATGCGTGGATAATTCGTAATATATGATTTTTTACTTTTTTTACGTCATTTTTTAGTTTCATACGAATTTTGCGTGATAGGTTTACGGTAAGACTACGGTAGCATAGATATTACTTATTGATTATCGTCGTTGATGTTGTGCATATACGATCAGAGAATTTTTCCAGCCGTAGGGGATTCGTAAAATCTAGCTTCTGGACTTTTTGTAACGTACTTTTCATATGATTTTTGGGAGGGTCTCATGGCAGGGCTACGGTAATCATACGTTAAGAGAAGAAAGGTGTGAAATCACAACTCAAATACGTGGAACTTTTGAATTTTTGATGTTCACATTTCGTGCAGTTGTTGATGACCTTATATTTTGGAGGCGGTTGTTTTGAATTTTTAAATCGTACGGTAAGACTACGGTAGTCAAAAAAAATGTCAAAAAAGCTACATATTTTCATGTTTTCAAAGGTTATGCAACAGCTGGTGTTCTTTCATTCATTATGGATCATTTTGGTATTTTCTTGCGGTATGGTTACGGTAGTCATACGGTAGACGAAGAATGCAGCGGTTTTGAAGACCTGAAAGCCGTGCTTTTTCCGAGCTTTTCATATTTCTTGCAATTTTAGCTGTCCATTCATAAGGAAGAGTTTTGATTTATTGTCTATTGGTTTGATCACGGTAGTCATATGGTAGGAGAAGAAAATTGCGAATAACACACCACCCACATCCGAAAAGCCATTAAATTTCCAGCTTTTCATATTTCGTGCAAGTGCTGCTGTTCCAATCGAATTCAGATGTGTCTGTGTTGATGTCCTTCTACTGTATTCATAAAGAGGCGTTTTGATGTGTTTGTGTGCACACGATGCCCAAGAGCCCCACATTTTCCTACGCGTCAGCTGATTTCATACGTGATTCTCGGTCGTTGTCATTCTATATGGATTGCAAAGGGCAGCCATAGAGAAATGAGAATATAAGTGCCCGATTGACTGCTTGCTGCTCTTTATTATCACCAATATTTCCCCCATATCGGAATTTTGCACCTCTGTTTCGTTGGGGCAGCAATTTTCTTTCGGGCACAGCTTGTACTTTTGACCATTAGCGTCATTTGCGTTCTTTTTTTTTCATAAGAGGCTATTAAAGGCTCTTCTTATCAGTTACCTGCTTTTAGCTGTGTGCTGATATGACGGTTGTTTTGATTATTTCCTTCCCCGCTAACCACCACACAATCGATTCTGAACATTCTATGGCTTTTGTTTGTGTATCGGACAGGTGCATATATCCATCTGGAATTTGCATAAACGATAGCGCAAAGAATACGCTGTGCTTGCCACCCCCCCCCCTTCTCTCTCTCACGGACATTTCCATCTACATCAGCAAAGGATAAAGCCATGTGCTATTCGATGCGTCATTGACGTAGCTGAATCGGATGTTTTGCTATTCACATTTATACACAAATAAGCCTGAGCCATGGGCATTGTTTCGAGTTGATTAGCTTTTCTAGCACAGTTTTTGTACGAGATGTATTGTTCTGGATTGTGCGTATATAACGAATCTATAGCGCACGACCACACAAAGTGCAGCTCTATCTACATTCCACACCATCCCATCCAGTTCGTTTGGTTGAAATCTTCCTCTCCCACTCTTATATCTCCATCCACCTCAGACTTCTTGACTAACAAACCAGTACAATCGAGATTCTCGCCCTACTGTTCTCAGGAGGGGATTCTTGAGTGTATTGATCTGTTTGTTTTAGAGCTACACTTCTTTCTTGCCACAGATCCTCTACAGTTTATTGGTGAAAAGTAGCGCAGCTTCGCACTTGGTTTTTCTGCTTTTATAGCGATTTTGTTCTGCTGTGGTGCGACTACAATACTTCTACCATAATCCTACAGTACGCTTTTACTGCTAAAATTAAATAGGATTGTACACTAAAAATTAATAATGATGAATAAAAACTGCATAATGACAACCGAGCTTTTCTATCGCCTGTACACACCACTATATCTCTCTACCGTGCGATTACAGTAATCTTACCGTAAGACCCTCCGAAACGATGGGTATAATATGTTTGTTGAGATATCAATTATAAATTATATATGTTTAACATATTCTCATTGCTATATATGCGCCATTTATACACCACTTGCTTTTTTCGAAGAAATCGTGCATAATTTTTCTTTCGCTTGGTCAGTGTCGCTTATTATAGCTTGTTCTTATGCCTATACGCACTTGATGACACATATTGCAAATATCCGAGTGGCTTTAGTTTACTTGCGCAATCCGAGGTATATATATCTGTCTAAAGAAACATCGGAATGTCACTCGTACACCTTTGTTCTTCTTACCATGCGATAGCTGTATTATTCTATAGTCGCGCATAGTTGAGTTTTTTGTAAAAATTGCGTATTCACGTATCATTCTTTGGGTTTTGTCCCACTACCTTAGTTCACAAATTTTGATCTTTCATCTCATTTTGTTATAGCCGGTTTTCTCCAACTTACATCCTTTTCTTTCAATTCATGAACGTTCTTTGACTTTGCCCATCAGTTAATCATCTTATCTCATTAACGACCATATTTAGCACCGGCAAACGGTTCCATGAAGACGGATGGCAAAACTCCACAAGCCGCCGTTCCACCCGCTGGCAAATCCGAAGACAAAAAACGTCGTCGTGCGTTGCGTCGTGCCAAAAAGAGCGAAGCTGCGCAACTAGAACTAGCTGAAGCGGAAGCTAATGGTAAGTGTGGCGCATTTCAGAAGTGCTAGTGAAGGTGTTTTGCGAATCTTTGAAGATTTATTGATTTTTTATTTAAGCTGCCGCATTGGAAGATCTGTTCGCTAATGATCGTCAGCGAGTGTTGAGCGGTGGTGATGATTATTGGTATTATGATGTGGCATCGGATGGATATTATTATGAACAAAATGGTGCAAAAGGATGGAGACGTCGTATGCCAAATTCGGCAATGCAACGTATCAAAGAACAGGTACGGAACATTATAATTGCTTTCTAATGTTTTTTTTTTTCGAATTTTGATTGTATATATATTTGTTTTGGTCATTTGGACTTGATTTCGCGAATTTGAAGTCTCTGGTGGGCTAGCGTGTATCGTCCAACCAGGCTGAACTTTAGTGGATCACCATATAGTGAGATTAGTTCTAAACTTGTGTCTGTCTGGCGCCTATTGTCTGGATCATTATCGCTAGCGCACGAGTTGTCCTTGAAACGTCGTTGTTTTTGGCATTTCCATAAATTACGATGAAAGCCCGCGTCTGTCTCTGCGACTCGACAGAGAATCCGGTCAAGCTCTATCTTAATCGAATAGAGTCTCATGTGCGGACCGAAAGTGCAGGAGAACTTGTCCTATTCTCTGTCTCTTTTCGAAGTCTTACTTTTTGTGTGACTTCGCTGAAATTTTCCGGGGAATCACGAACTGGAAAAGGTAGAGTGTACGCTGCAATGCTATTGTTGTGTGCATGTGTTCCCAGTTCTCGTAGTCCACGATCCGGTCTCGTATGTCTAGGATTGTTTACCGGGAAGGGAACACATATACACATTGCAGACGTTGGTTGCCTCCTCTCTTTTTTTGTGTCGTGAGCTCTTACCCCCCACCCTCGTTACCCCTCTCATCTCACGTGGGTATGAGTTGTTTTTCCGTGAATGGGGCTCTTCGCAAGCGAGCGAACAACAAGAGTTGTTTGGATAGTTCCTGTGTGTGAATCCGCAAGTCTAGCCACACACACATAACAACGTATGGAGTACGTTAATTGAGCTTTGTCTCAGAGATAACACCTGCTTTAAGATGAACCCCGTCAACAGATCAGAAATCGCATTCCTAGAAGTAGGGCTAAAGATTAGAAAACTGAAATCTTGTCAGTTTTTGCTGGATGTAAAGTGGATCAGTAGTTGGCTCGTCGAACTAGTGAAAGCACTAATCGCGAGTGGAATGTGTGTTCTAATAATCAATTTCCGAAGTAATGTTGTATTGCGCCGAACACATTTCCCATTAGTTTGAATTAGGTCAATCTATTTATGACTGGGGCGCGGGATACAATGGGTCGAAGTGGTTTCGAAATGAGCGTGTACTGGAATGAAACGCAGAAAAGAACAGTATCAAAATTGCTGTTTTGCTGTGTAGTTTTGCAAGGGGCGAGGGAAGAGGACAACAATTTTGAAACTGCAGTAGTGCTCAGCAAGTGTGAGGGGAAAAACAGGCGGGGGGGGGGGGGGAAGGAATGGAAGCGCCAATTCGTTTCTTCTGGAAGATTCCCCGTTTAATGTCACTTTTTACGACAGCTCTTGCGTCTCGTGCTCTTTTTTAACGACATTGTCCTCGTTTTTCACTTGCTCAGCCATTCGAGCGCGTAATTTATGTAAGCCCAAACAAATAGTGCAACTGAAGGTTTTTTATGTGATTGTCCATCTTCCCAAGATTGTGATCCTTCCCTCCCCCCGTGCTACTTAGCAGATGCCACACATCTTTTAGAGATATGTGGCACCTCCAAAGATTGCCATAATAGACGTCAATTTATTGCAAATGGAGCACGAATTGTGTTTGTTTAACGGATATGGGCTGTCTCGTTTGCGTGACGTGACTCTTTCGTCGCCATCCATGCTTGAGGTTTATTCAGCCATGATCCGTGGCAAGCATAGTGCGTATCAAACATACAAAAAGTCCTGGTTCGACTAATAATAGGCAACTTCGACGACGTGGCATTGGAATCGCTAGTGTTTGCCAATGCTCAGCCTGAAAAGATTTGCCCTTGCATTAGTGCCAGTCACACATACACACACTGCAGCGATGCAAAAACGACTATGTAAGGTTTTACGTGATTGTATATACGAACGTTTCGGCTTCACACACACAGACAGTAACTAGACGTCGTTAGCTCTTGTAAGAACCACCAGAAGGGAATCCGGTTCTAGCAAGTGTAGATTTTGAAGATAGAGGATCTATTAGATCTATTAGGATTTATTATCTATTATCCATAGATGGATATCAATATAAGTGTTCCAAGCACTTAGATTTGATCTTTGGTTGGAAGCTATTTGCAGAAGTGCATTCTAGTTGATATAAATTGCTGTCCTATTTGGCAACTTTTTTTTCGCATGGAAATATAGCTTAGTTAATTTTGTTTGTTTCCAAACATATCTCTGAACAGTTATAGATCCTTGAGAACGATGTCATACTTTTTACCTGGAGTCTGTGGGCAGCAGATTCCTTGAAAACAGCCACGAACAGGTTTTCTGTTGACATTTTTGCTGTTTTAGCGAGTCTGCTGTTCGCAGATTTTTGTGTCACAGAGACAATGAAGATAAATATTTTGGAAAAAAATTTCCTGTTTCACGGAGGCGATTTAGTGTCGAGCAGGATAACTGTGTCGTTAATGCTCTTTTGATACAGATGATTTGACGTTTTAGTGCTAGATTTATGGAGAGGGCTACTCAAAATGTAACAAATTTTTAATAAAAAATATACAGCAAATAAACTGTACCAATACTAATTTTAACCCCGCTCAGCAAGAAAATGATGAAATGACTGAAGATGATGTTTTTTGCAGGAGATGGCACAACTGGCAAGTGGTGGCAAGATGCCAATCTTGAATGCTGCACAGGCGCATGCATTTTTGCAAAGTGCACTCTTCTCACAACCAGCACTAAAGTAAGTTTTAGCGTTTTTCTCGGGAGTTCTAGCTGAATAATTTATTCCTCTTCTTTTTCAGATACTATGATGCGAATTCTGATGGATTTTTCTATGAGATGGCCTCAGTCGACGGTTGGAAACGTCGTCAACCTAACAAACCAGTACATCAATCACTAAATGGTCTAAATACTGCCACGGTACCAACGGCAGCAGCTGCGGCACCCACGAATGACACCAGTCGCAATAGTTATGGCGCAACTTTGGCCCGAGGACAAATTCCACGTCCCCATTGTGTACTCGATGATAGTAGCGCTTCTTCATCGGTTAGCGAGGATACCAGCTTACAGGTAGGGTAAAGTACGGTAGATTACCGTTAGACAGCAAGCTGAACCTAATTGTGCTGTTTTATAGGACGTGTTCGGTCTAGACACAGCATTCAGTGGATTAACAATGGGATGTGATAGTCCATTCCGACCAACGCTTAACTCGTCCTCGACCACTACAAACTCGACCACATCGACTAACACCGTTAACAACAACCATAATACTACCACCACCGCAGCTACCGTATCCCGACCAGATTCGCTATCACTTTGTGATCAGATTCTACCTGGATTTAATGCCGATAAATTTATCCAGGATCTATCATTTTCCGGACTGGATCCGGCTAAGGTGAGGCTTTGCAGTCTTTTGTAGATGAATAAATAAAATCAATAGAATCAAGAGTTTTTCTTGACCATCTAAATTATGTGGGCTACGGTAGACACACTGTGATTGCAATACTAGCAGTAGCAAGTGTTTTTCATGAACATTTGTTGCATGGGTTACGGTAGAGATACTGTAGACACACTTTTGGCACACCAATTTTTCTTGACCTTTTGAAATTACGGCCACGGTAATGATACTGTAGACTCACTCAGTAACATCATTTTTGATTTCTGTCTAAAATCACATTTTGCAGGTCCTCGGTTCTGTTTCGCGCACACCAGCCGATCCATGGGCATCGCGATGTGGTGGCTGGACTTTACCACCATTTGACAAGCCGACGACGACGTTCACATCGTCACTGATTGAGGAGGATGACAACTCGTCCATGCTTCTCAAGGACCTCGAGAAGATTTGGGCGACGCCAGTTGGCGGTCTAAATGCCTGAGAGAAAGATGTAAAAGAGAGAGGAACAATTAGCGCTAGGACTGGCTGATTCATCAGCGTAGCCGCCCGACATTGAACATTTATACAAAATTATACATTTTATATACAGACACAGCATGATTCTGTTTTTTGTTCTTCCTTAGTTTCATCGCAACTCACTCAAAACTTGCTCCTTGTATTAGCGTATCGTACTCATCGTGCTTTCCGCCCCCTGTTCGTTGAGCGCGTATGTTATCGAAATGTACATAGTTATATCTAGGATGCAAGCGTATTAACTCTAGCTTACAATTTCTTCCTCGAGAAGTTCTGCGGAATGTCGTCAGTCGTTCAGTAGAGATTCATCACTGTTGTGTTTTTCTTTCTCTTCTCTTCCTCTTCCTTTTTTTTGGATTTTGTTCGCCTTCATCTCTTTCGTTTCGCCTACCTTCAATTGGGGTGCAAGACGACGAGTGTGTGACGACGGCGGTGGTGCAGCTGTAGATCGGCTTAGTGACCGCCTCGTCTCAAATTTTATATCCATCCCCTTGGAATTTTGATTTTTTGTGAAAATTGTAGGATTTATAACGTTTTGTGTCCTCGCTTCCAAGGCGCGTTCTTTCCCAATTCAATTCGTTTTCTTTTTTTGAGGGCTTCGTGTTTTGGAGTTACATATCTGCCGCGTGTTCTTTGAATTTTCCTCCGATGTTGATGTATCTGCAACGTCTGTAAAAGTGCGTAGGAAACCACTACTGGTGCAGGGACATGTCCCACCATCCCCCAACACAATCTGTGCTTTGTTCTGTTGTGAAAAACTCTTGGTACATTGTTTTTCTTTTTGCTGAATTGTAGAGCTGTCCGTGTGCTTTGTGCTTTGTGCCTTGGGGTTGGCGCGCATGTCTTCGAAAAAAACTTAGCCTTGCATCCACACTTTGCCACAATTCTATACATAGTTTCTAGGTCATATCCCCTTTTTTCATCATGTATTTTTCCTCTTTTCCTTCGCTTATTGAGAGCTGTTGTGTTCTCATGGCTTTATGTGTGTCATGTTAGTAGATGCGGCGAGTGTTTCCTCCTCTACGCTCTTCTGTCTGACAATTTAGTTCACATAGTTGATATAGCTAGGACCTGTATAGTATAATTACAGTAAGAATTAGGCGTCACTTTGCTAGTGTTGTCCGAATTCTTTTCTGTCTAGGAAGCATTTGAAGACGTGGTACCTCTGTGCTCTATCGTCGTGAAGTTGATGTCTGTAGTTTTGCGTCAATTGTGTAGGATTAAGCCCTCTTTTCCAGCCCCCACTTACAATTCATCACATCATCTTTTTCCTTCGATCATCACTATTCCATTCATCCAATTCATCATTCATTCGTCCATCCTCCCCCATCATCGCATCACGAATTCCTTGAGTACGGCGGGTCGTTTGCTGTATGTCTGTCTTCGATGTGTGTCGCTATGTCTGTAATTGTTCGTGTCGAGGTACGTAATAAGAGGAGTAGTGCATATTAAACATGCATACGATATATATGTACTGTAAATATATATATCGTCTGTACAATAATAAGTTTTTTCTCTTTTTTTTCTGATTTCTGGTTAGAGTTTCTGTTACATATGTGTACGAAGATAGTTCTATGCACATGTTCATTTTGTCTGTCTCTTCTTAGCCATCCACCACCCCCTGAAAATTTCACTTCAACGATACTTTGCTTTGATTTACGCTGTGTATTGTTTTGTGTGATGTATGATGTATTTCCCATCCTCCATACGTCCACATTACATTTCATTTTTTTCGTCTGTTATCTTTAGTAGTGTAATTCGGCTGAGGGAAATCATAAATATGAAGTTTATTCTTTTTGTTACACCAGATGCAGAGACGAAATATTGTACTACACATGTTGGTTTTGCAGAAAAATTGCAGCGCAATTTGAATGCAAGCCAGCAAGTGAGCAGTGTAAAAATTAGTACACTTGGTCTGCAGCAGAATAACGAGTTTTGCAGAAGCCATTCTTGATTTTGTCGTAAAGTTGCACTATAAAATACGCGATAAGAGTGCGAGAAGCGCTCGTGCTTGATGATGATGACTTTCCAACTGGGAATTATTCTTACGCGGAAAGCTATAGTTTGCATGCACTTTTAGTTTAGCGATGTGGATTTTCACGTGATTTCGCACAACGAAGTCCATAGTATTGGAATGAAAGCCATCACATTCACCATAAGCATGGCTACAAGTTCACATAGTGTTTCAGCGCTGGAAACAACACTTGCGCGTGGTAGACGTTTCTTACGCGCAAATTCCTATCGGCAAAGCAGGCATGATAATTGTTGCGCGCAAATGTTGTCAGCACCGCAGTAGCACTATACATTGTCAAGTTTACTAGTTTATATTTTCTCCCGTTATTAGTCGAACTTATGAACTTGTAACCAAATTCGAAGACGTTCCTCAAGACCTGTACTCACACTTTCAGTTTACATGAAGAGCTTACGATCAGTTTAAGTAAACCTATAAATGCTTTCAAAGTAGAGAAGTAAATATTGAATCAAGGATAGATTCTGGACGATTGAACACCTTAGTGGATTGGCAGTTGTTTTATCTGATGAGGAAAAGTTGCTTATGCCTTCATAATTCTTATTTTGCAACAATGATGACTGAGATGGGCACTTGACAATGTTAAATAAAAAAATGCTTAAAAGTAAGTGGAATGAAAACATACATCTTCTTCTTCTTCACCTTCTTGTGCTAAGTTGTGTGCGCGTCTGAATACTCGCGCTTTATTGACAGTTCTTTTTCTACCATTGTATAAGCGCTAGTATCAGAACATAAAATTTAGCATACAAAATAAAGTAAGTCTTTGCATCTATTAGGTTGTCTCATAGTTTTTTTCGACTTTACAAAATTCAAAAGCAAAGCAAATCAAGCTGTACAAGATGGTCACCATGCGTCCGCCACATTCTATGTAAAGTATGCAGCGCGGAGAAGTGCCAGAAATCGTATCTCAGTCCCAAAACATCCTAAAAATTTCCTTCTTACTTTAAGTATGTATCTGACACATTGGATTTTCAAATATAAATATTCGTATTCTTTCCATGGTTAGAAGTGAAGGGAAAAAACCAGTAAAATGAACTGCGGCCTTAGCGGTCTTGGGTGCTTCCTCTCTCACACGTATAAAGCGCATATATCCAGAAGTACGATCATATATTTTACCCTTGTGGGTGCCATGGTTCTCAAGAAGTACTGATTTTAGGATTAAAATCGAAAAAAAAAATTATGAGGCACCTTAACATCTACTTTTGCTATTCTGAGATGCAGCAAAAGCACAGGAATTGCGTACGTGTATTTCTCTGCGGTGAGAGGTCCAAAGGCTTCTTTAGGGTTATGCTTGGCAACAGTTTTGAATTTCGGCCTCGAGGTTGGAATCTGCGCGAGTGTTCTGGTACGATTCGCTTAGGAATGAACGGACAGACAATCTGATTCAAGGGATTTGACAAGCGACATATACTTAGCGCACACTTTAAGGCTTGCCACCCGTGGCTACGTCTCACATGTGTTGTCGGCATTGCAAGAACACCTTAAAGCCGTCGAATAGATTAAAATGTAGCATTGATAGCACAAATAATCTCACGATGATAAGAACGACCAATGGAAATTATAAAACGTGGCGAGGGGGTGTCCCTGGGTATAGCGAGAAGGTCCGGACTCACGCGTCAGCCCAGCTAAAGCAGACCACCCCAAGTCACATGTCAGGGTTCGTTGCCACCTACCTGGCAACGCCAGTCTAGTCGCGAGAAGGCAAAAACGTCAGTATCACCAAGGAACGGCGACAGCTTCGACACAACCTCAGAATGCCCCAGCCCGGCTATCTAGGGTATGGCGGGAAATATAATAGCTTTGTCAACTTCAAACCAACCCCAGTACTCTGCGCACCTGTTTGTCTGCCGCTTGAAACGTCGAATGGCAGTGCCACCGGTGAGGGGCGAAGAAATCTCAGGTACGAAAGCGAGATGTCCATAGGTCCTTTCGGCAACAGAACGGATACGACAAGGCATGGAGGCTGTTTTCGACCTTTGCACTTACAATGCAAGGGCGTTATCCTCAGCCCGTTATGTTGCCTTAGACGCTGTAACTCGCATCAAATACGATGTCATTGCATTACAAGAAACTAACATAAGAACATAAGCTCGATCACACTCAAGAGGAAGGACGGAACCCTTGTCGTACTAGGAAGGAAGGTTCTCACACGAAACTTTGGGGTGTGGGCTTTGTCGTACACCCATCGCTTACAAGGAAAGGATACTTGGTAACCCCGGCCATTTGGTATGCTATGTATACCATAAGGTGCACCTCGAAACGCCAACTTTAAATTTGTGCTCGAAATCTACAAAACGATCATATGAAGACAATTATGAATTCTTTTCCCTAAAAACTGCGTACTTTTAGGTAGTTAAGATCACCCAATTCGGTCTGTTTCACCGTTTGAACCATTGAGGAAAATCCTGAAAGGTGTACATCGTATTTATACCTATCTAAATCATATTCAGCATTTGAAGAGGAAAGAAAAAATTTTATTAATGATTTTCACCCTCCTTTCACCCTCCTCTTGGAAAAATGGTTGTAACTACATCTAGGTTCTCGTTCCGCAGAGACGGAAAGGCGCATTTTTTGATATACGTACCATTATGAATGGTCGGGGTCCCAAGTCTTCCCTGTTTAGGACCTGACTCTTGTGAAATTCTGTCACCACAACTAGCAGTCCTTCGACTTGTCGCTCCGCGTCAGAGGAAGACAAGTATCATCAACTGTTACTTACCCGTAGAGGCACCTGATGAAAGAGAGCTCGACAAGTTTTACGAGGAGTTTGAAGACGCCTACAAAGAGATATCGTTATAAGTTTATCGTCGGCTACTTCAACGCTAGGATGGGACAGACGCAAGTCCACGAAGATGGCAAAATTGGGGACTTTGGTCTGGGAAGTCAAAACGAGGATGGAGACAGACTCGTCGAACTCATCGCAGCGGCTCGACTGTTTCATGGAAACTCCTTTTTTTCAGAAGAAAGAAAATCGCCTTTGGACATGAGAGTCGCCAAATGGCACGGCATATGCGGAAATCGACCATATACTTGTCAATAAGAAATGGAGTTTGGTCGAGGTTGGAGTGGTTTCGTCGATTGGTACAGGGGACTACCACTTACCGAGCGAAAATCTTTATCAATCAGAGAATAAAGAGAAGATCTTTCCATCGCTCGAAGCTTAGAAGAGAGGCAAACGTGACGAACGCGTTCTCGAGAAGACCATTGCCAGATACGAAAGGGAGGAACGGGTGATTCAACAGAAGAGCCAATAAAGCTGATCGAAGGACTACAGGCTGATCAGGCAGCTCTCACCGTGACAAGAGGTAGTGTACATTTGACGAACAACACCAAGAAACTTCTACAGAAAAGAGCCTGCACGCAGATCCAAGTACGCCACACCTGGAGCAAGTGCTGTTCAACAACATTTGCAGAAAAGCCTTGCAAAAGGATCTGAAACGATATCGACAGATGAAGCTACTCGAAGCAGCACAAAACAGGAAAATTATGAAAAGATTTCGAAGAGATCTATGCGAACACGAACTACCGATGCAAGCTCTACTGAGTGAAGACGCAAGGTTAGTAAACTCTCGGCGCGAAATGGAATCGATAACAGAAGATTTCTACAAAGAACTCTTTCTGTCCACGACGCCAGTACCAAATTCTGCCATCCACTGGAGAACAACCGCCAAGGATCCTTTCTTCAGAAGTACGCGCAGCCATAATGTGCATGAAACCAGGCACAGTTCCTCCAGATGGAATCGCCGCAAATTTATTAAGAGCCGGCGGTCACAAGCTGCACAGTCCACTGGCAGCTCATATGACACATTACCTAAAGAAGGATACCCAATTAGTGAAAGACATCCTGCACGATTCTCTTACACAAGAAAGGCGGGAGAAAAGACTCGAAGAATTACCGACCGATCAGCTTGTTAAGTGTGCTTTACAAGCTGTTTACAGAGATCATCCTGTATCTCGACGACGTTGGTTGAAGCACAACCATCTGAACAGGCCGGACTCCGCAAAGGATTCGGCTGCATTGATCACATCCAAGCCGTCACAAGGGTCTGGAGGTCTGTCGAGAATACATACCAACTGCCCCTAGTCCTCACCTCTGTCGACTAAGATAGGATTTCGACATTGTGGAAATTAACGCCGTTTTATGAGCTTGGATTGACCAAGGAGTGGTTTTTACCTGCGTTACTTACTTAGATTAGACGGCCCGGCTTCACGTGACGTGCGGGCCTCAGCTCAGAAGTTTCCATTTCTCCCTGTCCCTCGCTTCAGACATCCACGATCTTCTTGGCTGGTGGCTGCGTCCACGAGATCTAGGTGCAAAAATCGTATCCAGCTAATTTCTCAGCTTGTTCATCCGTTCCACAAACACGTCTGCCCATGTCGTTGAAGGTCTTCCTCGGGGACGTTTTGCTTCGCGAAGAATCCACTCCGATGTTCTTAGGGCCGCATGCACTAACATCCGCGCGGGGAGGGGATCGCAGCTTAAAAGAAAGCTTTATATTTCGAAACTCCAGGTACCTGGATTTCACGTTGTGTACCTATCCGTTAGTATTCCTACTACCCTTTACTATGAACATGTTGAAGAGGAGCGAGAAGCTGTACGAAACGCATTTTCAAGCTTTTGTATAATCCCTGACGATCCCCGGCGCTTTTCTTCAAAGTTATTTTTCTCCGAAGTTAACGAAAAAACTCCAAAGTTGTGCAGATTATCTAACCGAACAGTGGCATGTTGCTGATAAGAACAAATGATGTTTTGAAGTCAGGAAA